TTTGAAGGCCTCTATCTTGGAAACCAGTCATTCTAACATGCTTTGATTTAGAGATATCAATATTTGTGTTGACAGCTCTGGGGAAAAGTTTTCATTGATTTGATCATGCACTTTGTATTTTATAACACCTCAAACATGGGTGAAAGTCGCAGTTGAAAAGGTTTCGTTTAAAAATAAAACTTTGAAATACCATATCTCGATTGTTTATTGATGGATTTTGATAATTCTTTTTTTTAATGTTCTTGTTTCATAGAGTAGATTTGAACCCCTGAGGTTTAAACGTCAATATTGTTCAAAAATTTTTTCGCTTGTGGTACCTATTTTTAGACTGCTTTCTGTGTTAGTATTAGCCTAATGTATCGCCAGGCTCGCTATGAGTGTCGTCATTGCTCTGTTAGTCCAAAGTGTGTTATTTAGGTCAGATTACCACCGCTGTACATACTACAGTAGGCTATTATGCTTAGATTTACATGAAGTCCGGGCACCTTGGTATGCAATGGTAGATGTTTTACAGCTCTTCAGACACAGTTATAGCCATAGGTGTCAACGAAGACCTTGTGCTGATAAAAGAATAGGATAGTGTTTGTTGCTGACCTCTTTTTTTCTGCTTATGAGGGCTTTACACAATAAAACTTTAAAATTTGGGGCACACAGCAGGGCAGACTCTATGGGCAAACTGCATGTGTTCCCGATGGAATAATCACTCTGTAAACATGTGGTATTGAAACCATTCATATTGTGGCAGATAATTGATTCTGCTTGAGGCATTCTAATGAGAGAGGTACCAGGTATCTGAAACATGTCATTCTGATTTCTGACAATGTAAGAATCTAAAATCAATTTTATATATATATAGTATAAGGTTTTACGGCGCTCGCAACTGCTAAGGTCATATGAGCGCGCGAAACACAAGTTGTTCACCTCTGCGAAAGTTCACTTCACGACTGGTAACTAATTTACTTTAAAATGCTAAAAAGTTAAAATATTCAAATTCGGTGTAAATACATTTGTGATCTAAAACAACTTTTAAGTAACAATAAAAATTTTAAATAATATCAAATTCACTCTACAACTCGCCATAAAGGCCAATGGCCTTTATAAAATTTAAAATTCTGCTGGGAACAACGACGGAGAAAATATCCTGCAATTTCTTGCATTTATAATATTTCCTTCGGATCTCTCCAAAGTCTAGACATTCTGTTAAAATGTGTCTAATGGTAAAATCTGTGTCGCATCCGACACAGAACGGCTTCTCCTCTCCCTGTAGGAGGTATTTGTGAGTCAGGGCCGTGTGTCCGATGCGCAATCGAGTAAAAATGACTTCGTCTCTTCTGGAGAGATCCGAAGGATTTCGCTGTTCTAGTCTGGGTTTAATTTCATATAATTTATTATTTTTCTGGTTTTCCCAGTGGCTCTCCCACAGACTGGAGGTGTACTTTTTGACTTTATTTCTAAAGTCAGTCTGTGGGAGAGTGTTTGTCGTTGATCCCAGCAGAAGGGATGAGGCTTTCTTCGCCAGGTCGTCTACCTGCTCGTTTCCTCGGATGCCCACATGGCTTGGGTATCCATGCGAACATGATGTTTTTTCCTGTTTCGGATAGTGTATGGATTTTCTGTTGTAGCCTAACTATTTTTGGGTGTAAGAGTGTGTAGTTTGTGAGTGAGGTGATGCAAGACAGAGAGTCAGAAAGGATAAGGAAAGATTTGTTAGGAGAATTTTCTACAGAGTCCAGTGCCATGTCAATGGCAGTGGCCTCCGCAGTGAAAATGGAGGCTTCAGGATGGAGTCTCCTCTGGTGTGTATTGTTGGGAGATAGGGCTGCGGCGCCCACTTCATTGTCTTTTTTGGAGCCATCCGTGAAGATGAGCTCCGCACCGGGGTATTTATCTATTAGTTTTTTGTATTCTGCTTGAAAAGTTTTGGTGTTTGTGCTTTCTTTGTTGTGTGTGGTCAGCTGTAAATCTACTTTTGCCTTGGTGAGGTGCCACGGAGGGAGGTCGGGGAAAAGAATTTGTTGGATGTCTTGTTTGGAAAAGTGTAAGTTTTTGAGGTCCTCGAGAATTCTGAGGCCGAAAGGTTTGATGAGTTTTTCGTTGTTTTGGAATCTGTTTCTGGTTTCTGGATTTGTTTGAAAAATGCTGTTGTGCGCTGGATTTTCCGGTGTTGAGCTCTGTTTAACTGCGTATTGTAGTGAGAGTTGTGTGCGTCTGAGTGAGAGTGGTGGAATGTTGGCCTCGGCCTGTAGGCTCTCCACCGGAGAAGTGCGGAAAGCCCCCAGAGCGAGGCGGAGTCCTTGGTTCTGTATTGGATCTAGTATTTTTAAGACGTGTGGTTTTGCCGATCCGTAGACTTGACAGCCGTAGTCAAGCCTGGACCGGACAAGGGAGATGTACAAGTGGAGAAGGTGTTTTGAGTCCCCGCCCCACTCCGGATTTGATAGAATTTTCAAAGCGTTTAACGCTTTCTGGCACCTCACACGAAGGTCTTTGATGTGTGGTATGAATGTAAGTTTTTTGTCGAAAATGACGCCGAGGAAACGAGCTTGGTCCTGGACGGGAATCCTTTCCCCGTATAGTGTCAAATCCGGCTGCAGCACACGTCTGCCTGTTCGGCAGAAGTGTACTGCAACCGTCTTTGACGGGGAGAACTTGAAACCGTTGTTGTTTGCCCACGTTTCAAGTTTTTGCAGCTGCGTTTGCAGCTGCCTTTCCATAGATCTCAAATGAGGATTTTTCGATCGGCAGCATATCAAGAAGTCGTCAACGTATAACGAGCTGTCTATGCTGTTCTGGAGGGTTTTCACTATGGAGTTAATTTTAATTTCAAATAGGAGAGGAGAAAGGATGCTCCCCTGGGGGACTCCTTCCTCCTGTTGGTGGGGGTCTGAAAGGGAGGATCCGACACGAACCTGGAAGGAACGGTTCTTCAAGAAGTTGCCAATGAAGGCAGGGAGGTGACCGCGTATGCCGAGTGCGTGCAGGTCTCGAAGAATGCCGTACTTCCAGGTTGTGTCGAAGGCTTTTTCTAGGTAAAAAAAGATGGCGATCATGTGGCCTCTTTCAGCGAACGTCTCGCGTATAAAGGTCTCCAGGCGGACCAGGTGATCCAGAGTGGATCGAGTTTTCCTGAATCCGCATTGGAGACCGCTCAGCGAGCCCGTCGTTTCCAGAAACCACATGAGTCGCCTGTGAATTATTTTTTCAATTAGTTTGCAGAGACAGCTCGTTAGTGCTATTGGTCTGTAATTGGATGCGTGTGTGTGGTCCTTGTTTGGTTTGGGTATTGGAATGACAGTGGCGAGACGCCAAGACTCCGGAAAGGAGTGCGACCGCCACATGTTGTTGTATATGTATAATAGAAGTGTGAGTGTTTCTGAGGGTAAGTGTCTAATGATCTTGTTGTGGATGTCATCCGGTCCCGGGGCTGTATCGCCCAGGTCCGAGATGCACGATGTTAATTCGTCTATTGTGAAGTCTGCGTTGTAGGTTTCAGTGTTGTTTGAGTGGAAGTTTAGGTGTTGTTTTTCTCTGTTAGTTTTGACGTTTTGAAAAGTGGTGTTGTAGTTTGCTTGGGATGAGTTTTTGGCTAGAGATGTAGCTATTGTGTTTGCAATGTCTACTTGTGTTTCAGCTGTTGTTCCATCCGGCCTCTGGACGTGCCGAATGGTGTCTGTGCGTCTACCTAAGAATTTTTTTAGCAATTTGGAAAACTTGGTTGAGTGGTGTCTGGCTGTTGATTTTGGAGATGTATTTTTGGAATGATTGTCTTTTGCTCTCCCTGAGGCATCTACGTGCCACAGCTCGAGCCTTTAAATAACTTATCTTGTTTTCTATGGTGGTGTTGTTGACGGCCTTTCGATACGCTGCCTTCTTTTTCTTTACTGTGTCCTCACATTCCCAAGAGAACCAGATCTTGTTCCTCCGGGGTTTTGTTTTTGTTTTTGGAATGTGATTGTGGCATATTTCTAAGAGCTTTTCGTGAAATTTATTGTAGTTGTGGTCGAAATTGGGATTAAGAATCTTGGAACATTGATTGGCAAACCCGTCCCAGTCGGCTTTTTTGAAGTTGAAGCGTTCTGGGATCGGGTCGTTTTGGAGGCTATTGTTTTTGAGGAGAATTGGGAAATGGTCCGTACGGTCATCCAGCACAGACCACTCAAGATCTGGGACTAGTTCAGGGGTACAAAAAGTGAGGTCAAGGGATGAAGTGCCATAAGTGGCTCTGTTTCTATAAGTTGGGGATTTATCATTTAAGAGACAGATGTTATTTTGAAATAAAAAGTTTTCTATTACTTTACCTTTCTGGTCTATAGGTTTGTCTCCCCAAAGGGGGCTGTGGGCATTGAAATCACCTAGTAAAATAAAGGGTTTTGGGAGCTGGGACTTTAAGTCATTTAGTTGGGTTATTTTGAGGGGGTAATTTGGTGGGATGAAAACTGAGCAGATCGTGATTGGTCTGTGCAGGGTGACCCGTACGGCAATAGCCTAGAGGGTCGTCTTAAGATGTACTTGTCTGTGGAGTGTGTGGTTGTCGGTGTAGATGGTGGTACCACCGGAAGCAATCTGGTTCTCCGTGTGAATGTGATGGTACGCAGTAAATCCTCTTAAGTCTATGGTTGAAGCCGGGGCGAATTTTGTTAAAAATCAATTTTGACTTACCGTTTTGCCACATGATTGACACACTCCGCCTTCTTTGGAATTATGGATTCGTATGGGTTGAGAACCAGTACTGCCGCAAACGATTTGGAATCTCCATCCCCAATGAGTGTGGTGTACCTCATCTTGTGCAGGAGTGAGCGACCCCACAGCACCTTTGCTCCCTCCACCTTCATTCCACCAGATGACCCATTATAATTGGCTTGACATTGGGGCTTGTGAACTTCGAGCCATGAGTTGAACTCATCGGTTATCAGCTGGGCCTTCATAGTTTTGCAAAGCTGTGAAAATACAAAATCAACTTAGTGAATCAATATAAATAAAAGCAAAAGCAGAGGGAAAAATAATCAATGCTCTGTACGTACATGACATCAATATAAAGTATAGGCTGCTTTTGGACAATTCGGCAATGTGCGTATTATGTTCACATTTTTTTGTGGTGTGTAAGAAAGTTTGAGTGAGAACTCACTCTTACGAGAAGCGGGATTGGGGCAGTGAGTACTGTGTACCTAGTGGTGAGAAGGTAGTGGTTAGAGACCAGCCGGTGATTAATTTTAGTGGATTGTGAAAATTCTTGAAAGAGGATTTGGGCGGCAAGAAGCGTCTCTTCGTGACCTAACATGTGGAGGTAAGAACCAGTGAACTTGTTACATAAAGCATTTCAAGAAAGATGAGAGCACTTAGTACAAAATATTACTTCCTTTATCTATGTTACATTTCTTGAACATTTGGGACGTGAAAAAAAACAAACCGACAAACAACCTCCCCCCAAAAAACAACAACAAAAATAAAATAGAAAGCCAAAAGAAACAATCAAACAAAAGACGCAGCATACATCAGTGTTCTACTTACTTGGCAATGCATGGACATGACATGATAATCTAGTATCAAGCCAGTCACAGCACAGATGACAGCAGCTGCACCATGGTCAGAAGTATGTGCCAGGTGCCATCAAATGTGACGTCAATGTTGATGATACCATCTGTATCAGGTTCATACAGGCTGTGGACTATTGCATGGGCACGGGCCATCACAAAATCTTTGGTTTTAAGTGCGCTGTCATGGGCCACTTTGGTCTTGTCCTGAAACGTCTTCAGGTGGAGGCATGGCATTCCAAGAACTTCTGTGAAGTGGGCGAGTTGTCCATGACCCATTCCGACAGCGCATTCCAAGAACTTCTGTGAAGTGGGCGAGTTGTCCATGACCCATTCCGACACCAAGAGATGAAGCTGCTATTGCCCGGTTTACCTCAGGCTCCTTTGGGTTTGAGGAAATTCAACGGGATGTGCTTGCAGTCCCACCTTCTTGTTCTTGTTCTTGTTTCAGGAAGCAACATCCCTGCACTCCGGACATGTCCATTGATGCTCCGTTGCTCTCTCCAAAATGTTGCCGAGGGTCCCTCTACTGATTGTGCCAGTGCACATCTGGTTGAACGTTCTTCTGTTCTTTCCTGCAAGGATGCCAGATTTTCCGCTTCCTTTTTTTAGTCCCACCTATAGCACCACACACAGAGCACTCTGATCTTAGACTAACAGAGAGGCCCCGTCTTCCAGTCTGTCTGAGATGGATTGACTTAGCCTCACAAACTCCACATTTCAAGTCAATAAACAGACTCTGAAGTTCATTGAGGTGAACTATTGTGGTAGGCAGTTCCTCTTCATTAGCATGCACTCTGTCCTCCTCACTGACATAAGCCAGTTTTCGCTTTGATGCTGACAGAGGTTTATGCATGGGCTGGGACTGTGTACCAGATTCAGTGGAGGTTGAAGCCGAAGGTAAACTTTCATCAACAGAAGGCTGTGGGTGGTCTTCTGGAGCAGGACGCGGTACATTTCTCTTCGACTCAAGGAGTTTCTTCATCCTCTCCTTCAGTAAGTTTTTTGCCCTTCACGGTTTTAACCACTCTTTGCTTCTTTCCGAACCCAGGCATACTGTGGAAAATAATAGTAGATTGAATTATCTATTATAAAGAACATTTAGGAAAAAAAACTACCTTCGGCCTTCGGGTACTATACTTCATTAACTAGCAGTCATAATTCATAAGATCGATCACATTTGAAATAAAATAGACTACTTGGATGTTACAAATACTGCAAGATTGATTATGGTCAGAAATGCAATGGGTATACAGCTGTTCAGAGTTAGATAGAATTAGAATTATGATTTTACTTAGATGATCTTAGCAGTAGCCTAGATTACCTAAATCTAGATGGGAGTCGGGATCCTAATTCTAATTCTAACTCTGATCACAGCTGTAACCTAGTTGCATTTCAATTCAGGTTTCCAAAATAGCACACCAAGTAGCACGTCCTACTTGTGTGTAAAGACCTGGGCTTAAAATTTTCAGGTTTTCCATCCCTTTTCAAGTCATAATTTTAGCTGGTAGATCTAACCAAAACAATTGGGGTACTGGAAATGATCCGGAACACAGACAATTCCAGCGCTAAACCATATACCAAGACACAGACACAATCACAGAGAAAAAAATTAGATCACAATAAAGGGCTGTCATAGTGAGGGAATGTACCGTCTCAGACAATCAGGTAATCGGCACAATATAAGCCGACTCTAGCTCGCTCTCATGTTACTGAATGTTCATCATGTTGGCCTAGATTTAGATTATAGAATCTAGATCTAGAATCTAGATCTAGATTCTAGGATATCAAATCTACATCTAGACAATCTACTAGATCTAGATCTAATCTAGAGAGTCTAGATATCTAGATTTAGATTCTAGATCTGAATAGTATTTGCAAGTTTTGGAAGTGAACTGTGTCCAAAACAAAAAGTGCGAAAACTGAGACTGAGTTGTGTCGGTCGAGCTAGATCTAGATCTCTAGATATTCAGTGTGGGTTGAATGTTAAAATTAATGAAAACTGAATATTACAAATGCTGCCCACACTCCAAATCAAAATGACATTCCTGATCCTAATTCTAGTACTATTACACCAACAAAACTAGGCTAAGCCTACGCTACTGTCACTATACAACACTACGGCAGACAGCGAACAGCTGATTGATGTGTTATTTATACTCTGGTCCACTATCGTCGAATGTAGCCTAAATACAACAAGTTCAAAACAAAATACTAGCTATTGGAACATACTCTTACCTGCTCAGTATTCAGTAGGAAGAGTGTCAAAGCTGAAAATTGGAGTTTTCAGGTTTCTTCGTCCCTTGTTTCAAATGATAGATCTAGTTGCTTTCGAAAACAATCGAAGATGAGGTGGGCCTAGCACAATCAGGCGACAAAAGATGCAAATATTTTCGTAAACAACAGGCAAATGTCGCATTCTGGGATTGAAAGTGATGTAATTCGCTAAATTTAGTAATATAGCACTGTTTCAGCCAATTGTAAACATGGACGGTGTCGTTTGGAAACAATTGACAGCGTCTGTGCCGGTGGGAAAAGCGTTGAAGCTATAAATAAACCGTAGAAGTGGGTTCTCGGCACGGAAAGATCAGTTACCAACGAAGGGCACAACACTTAACAGTGCCAGATTTGTTTTGGCTGTCAGGGACGAATATTCCCCGTGGTCTACCTTAAGTAATTGTGTTTCTGATACAGTCAACCGCTTGAGTGTTAACCTTTCGTAAAGTCAACTATTTGGGGCTAATCCTAATCATTCAAGACTCAAGAAGAGATATATTTCGCCTGAACAAGTGGTGTACACACCTCCAACTACATGTACTTTGTTCTTTCATTATCTGTTGTTTTGGTGACAACCAGAATTATACTCCCTGAAATTGAGATTACATCTTGTTTATAACCAGGTAGGCTACTTTGTAATTTTGTAGTTGTCATCTTCAATTTTCAATGGCCAGTAGTACAATGGATAAAGTCAACCTTGCTCAAAGTCATCACTTTTTTTCTGTCCGGGGTGTTGACTTTATCAGAATTCCGCTGTATATATATTTTTTTAAATTAAAGCGCTTTTGTCATAAACACGAGTCTCAATTTTTTCCTTTTTATTAGTAAGAAAGAGTGTGTATGCAATAGTTTCCTTGAATGATTTACTCTAATGTGTGGTGAAATCAGGCGCTCGTCAAAATAATGAAAGTGAAAAAAACTGGCATTTTTCCGCAGGTTTGGGAACTTTTATTGAATTTTTTTTTTTTGCGCTGAACACCTTTTACGTCCATACTGATAGACGTTCATTACATGCACAAAATTTGTGATTTTTCAGTTTTAAAGGCTCTCAAGCTATTGAAGTTTTCAAACTTTGGAGGCCGTTTTCTCACGAAATTTACCTCTGAAATCAGGTGACCCCCACCTCCTTCAATCACAAATATTTCGACTTCTATTCAGCATAGATGAATACTGTTTTCATCAAAAGGAAGGAAAATGGACAGGCTTTAAGATGATATCAATAACTCTGTATGCCTCAAAATCAAAACTGACGAGCGCTTGATCCCACCAATTTGTGACACCTATTATTTTTTAGTGTGTATATTATTATGTGCATGTATGTGTGTATGCATGTTTTTCATGAATATTATGCAATGCGTATAGAGCAATGATTGTTGTACGGATTGGCGCGATATAAATGTCATATTATTTTTTTTAAAATCATTATAAGCGAACAATGTAATATTACCGCGGGAGGGGGGGGGGGGGGGGTGTCAAAAAGTCCCCAAAAAAGTGTAAGATTATATTTGAACAGCCCCTAAAAACATTTACTCTCTCTCTCTCTCTCTCTCTCTCTCTCTCTCTCACCACAACCACGCACAAAACAAACGCGTATACACACCCACTCACACATTTCTCTCTCACCACAACCACACACAAAACAAACACATAGTATACACACCCACACACACAACTCCTACCCTTGGTCCACTATTCATTCAGCATCATTCCTCTATTTTGAAATAATCCCCTGCAGTAAATAAAAAGATCTGTAGAATCTCGATGTTCTTGCGAATCCAAGGTAAGTTCAAGAAATCTACCATTTATGTGGCCTAAATAAGGTAAGAGAGGGCGGTTTAGCTTATTTAGGCCATATTGGCCTAAATAAGGTTAGGGAGGGGGGTTTAGCTTATTTAGGCCATATGTGGCCTAAATAAGGTCACCTTAACTAAAAACCATTCATGCATATAATGAAAAAAACCAAAGATAATGCTGCAGAAATGTTGCAAAAGTAGAATATTTAATGAACATACTTATGGTGACAAACTGCTTGAAAAGGAAAAAACATAACTAACCAAACGCATGCGGAATCTTCACGCATATAAACAGCCTGTCCCAATATAGAAAGACTGGATCCAGGCAAG